GTCAAGCTAAAAAGCTTTTCAAATGGCTGTCGTACAAAGCCAGTCCTTCCAACAGAGTTACTGCCCCCAGCATTTGCAGATGAATTGCATGAAAGTAAGAGTGGATTTGTTCAACTGTTTTTGTGAGTTAACTGTTCAATCTATTCCCAATAACTCCTTTGATTGATGTTCAGTGTGAAAACTGGAAATGGCCAATAGCAAACATTTTCTCCAGCCTGTCTGATAAGCTGGGAATTGATGATCATGTCAGTAATAGACTAGCTAGGTTTTTAGGATACATGTGCCTAAAATGGGACTGCAAGGTGGGCAGCCCCAGTATGCAGCAGAATTATAAGTTGGGAGAAACAAACATGTCAACATAGCAGCATTACTCCAGGTAATTAGGCTTGGCATAATATTTATCTTTTTGTAGTTGGCAGATATTAAAAATAAGCATTAATACCTTATTAATGTAAACTTTCACAGTTGTAGGAAATTATGGGGGGAGTATCAAATTGAATGACAGATGTTGAGATTCAATGTTTAACTGTAAAATACATTTCAACTTCATGTCAAAAGATCATGGTCTCACTAAGGTCTCACTCAGACAGCGCTTTTCTTTTTTGCCAGTCTGCAAATTTTGACTCTCAAAACATTTTTCCTTGGTGCTTGGATGGCAGAATTGACACATATTGGAACTTAACGATTAAAAATGTAATCCTTCCCTGCCAATAGTCAGTGATGGATCTTTAGTGTTCCAGTACGGTTGACTCTGAAGAGTTTAACTTTAACAGACTACTATATAATACTGATCTCCACTAGGGAGTTATAAGAATGGGATACAAATAATCTTTCATCTAACTAAAGGACTTCTACAAAATCTTGACTCCACCATAAGCTGCTACAACCAGTAAAAATCATTAACTGAGCTACCCCACCCCCACAAGCCTCCTGTAAAATCCTCACTTTCACTGAAGTGTGGGTGGGGTGAGATCACCAACGGTCTACGGAACTCCAGCCACTACTTCTCACAATTCATTTTAATAGTCAGAAGTCTGTATTCTGGCAGGTATGAAGGACTCTGTAGCTGCAACTTGCAAGTGTCTTTAGCATAATGGTGTGAAACAGAACAGTACTAAATACTCCATCTAGTTATCCAGACAACAAGAGACTCTATTTTAAGGTACTCTATTGGGAAAGCAATACTCTAACCCATAAAGGCACTAGGGTGTTTGGGCTTGTGTAAGATTGGCATGCTTTGCTCACAAACTAATGCAAGCTGGTGCCATGTGTGTTCAAAACAAGAATATAACCACCTGGAAAGATAGTTACAAGCTATTTGCTACTGATAGTCTCTTCAGTGACAAGAAAAGGAGTACTTGTGGCACCTTAGAGACTAACCAATTTATTTGAGCATGAGCTTTCGTGAGCTACAGCTCACTTCATCGGATGCATACCGTGGAAACTGCAGCAGACTTTATATATACACAGAGAATATGAAACAATACCTCCTCCCACCCCACTGTCCTGCTGGTAATAGCTTATCTAAAGTGATCAACAGGTGGGCCATTTCCAGCACAAATCCAGGTTTTCTCACCCTCCACCCCCCCACACACATTCACTCTCCTGCTGGTGCTAGCCCATCCAAAGTGACAACTCTTTACATAATCAAGTCGGGCTATTTCCTGCATAAATCCAGGTTTTCTCACATCCCCCCCCACCCCCATACACACACAAACTCACTCTCCTGCTGGTAATAGCTCATCTAAACTGACCACTCTCCAAGTTTAAATCCAAGTTAAACCAGAACATCTGGGGGGGGGGGGGTAGGAAAAAACAAGAGGAAACAGGCTACCTTGCATAATGACTTAGCCACTCCCAGTCTCTATTTAAGCCTAAATTAATAGTATCCAATTTGCAAATGAATTCCAATTCAGCAGTTTCTCGCTGGAGTCTGGATTTGAAGTTTTTTTGTTTTAAGATAGCGACCTTCATGTCTGTGATTGCGTGACCAGAGAGATTGAAGTGTTCTCCGACTGGTTTATGAATGTTATAATTCTTGACATCTGATTTGTGTCCATTTATTCTTTTACGTAGAGACTGTCCAGTTTGACCAATGTACATGGCAGAGGGGCATTGCTGGCACATGATGGCATATATCACATTGGTGGATGTGCAGGTGAACGAGCCTCTGATAGTGTGGCTGATGTTATTAGGCCCTGTGATGGTGTCCCCTGAATAGATATGTGGGCACAATTGGCAATGGGCTTTGTTGCAAGGATAAGTTCCTGCGTTAGTGGTTCTGTTGTGTGGTATGTGGTTGTTGGTGAGTATTTGCTTCAGGTTGTGGGGCTGTCTGTAGGCAAGGACTGGCCTGTCTCCCAAGACTTGTGAGAGTGTTGGGTCATCCTTTAGGATAGGTTGTAGATCCTTAATAATGCGTTGGAGGGGTTTTAGTTGGGGGCTGAAGGTGACCGCTAGTGGCGTTCTGTTATTTTCTTTGTTAGGCCTGTCCTGTAGTAGGTAACTTCTGGGAACTCTTCTGGCTCTATCAATCTGTTTCTTTACTTCTGCAGGTGGGTATTGTAGTTGTAAGAAAGCTTGACAGAGATCTTGTAGGTGTTTGTCTCTGTCTGAGGGGTTGGAGCAAATGCGGTTGTATCGCAGAGCTTGGCTGTAGACGATGGATCGTGTGGTGTGGTCAGGGTGAAAGCTGGAGGCATGCAGGTAGGAATAGTGAATCATGACCTCTCTCAAAGAAGATAGTTTTTACAATGATGTAGTTGCATACTGTATTGATGGCATGTTAGCTGTGGCAATCCCACTACCAAAAACATGTATGCATTCAAGATGAATAGCAAAAGATCATTTCAGCAGTATATCACACACACAAATGGATCAGTGTTATGTTCATAAGCTTCAGTCATATGGTTCATCAAAGACTGTATTAGGTGTTTGGAGCACAGTGGTGCCATGTGAGTTCTGACAGTAACACCTTGGCTAGAACTCTTGTGGTGGGGAAGGGGACTGTAACACACTTGTGCCCAGCCTGCCTTTGTGGGCTGCAGCTGTAGCTGAATAGCACGCAGTGACTGATGGGGAAGTACTCAAATAGTAACGTTCACGATCCAGTACTACTTCTGTGGCTACCAGAAAGCAGTATCCTGTACTTCATTCAGTACGCAGATGGCCACGCTGTTAAGTTAGTAACTTACTTTCAGCCTTCAGGCACAGCAGTGTAACTCCACCTACATTGTGCTACTCTGATTAGTCAGTGGGATTAAAGGCTTCCTGTTTGGGTAGAATCAAACTGCAATTAAAAGGTCATGGAGAAATCTTGACCATGAGGTGTGTGCACTGTCTGAACAGTGTAATCCCTTTTCTTGATCAAAAACTGAACTAGTCAATGTCTACAGACAGTCTCTGAATCAACATGCAGATTAAATGTCTAGTTAGACTTTGCTGTGTCTGAAAAGGCTGGCAATTCCTTGAGTAGCATGTCAGTACTGAAACCTGGCTTTTCTATTTGTACTATTTGTCTTGTGTTCCCAGGATGGCCATTGTCTAACCAGACCTACTGAAACACTGTGGTCATACTTGGGGGTAAGAATGTCATAACTAGAATACCCTCATAACTCTCCTGCTCTTGTAATAAACTGTTCCTCGTTTAGTTCTGCGCTCAGGTAAACTCTTGGCTGTGCTTTAAGAAGCTTTCATATTAATTTCATGGTGTTAAAGTTTTTTTTAAAAAGGATCAAAGTCCACTAGTCACCTTTGCCGCAACTGCCTGTATGCACAAATGCAGATCTCTACCTGCATGCTGAGCCTTCAGTAGGAAGGTGCCCTCTGAACACCTGTCTGGGCCAAAACTCTCCTCCAATAAATTCAATAGTATCCCCAAGTGGGAAGCCGCAATAAAAAAAAAAATAAAAAAAAATTGATTTTAATCAACTCTTCCATTGTACTTCAGTACTTTTTCTAAAGAGGTGCGTTAAAGCATGTTGACTTACAGCTGCTAGAGCCTTTACACAAGATTTGGCACATCTTGCTAGCTAAGAGGACCAATTAGAATTATATATTTACTTAAATTATAGCTTAATGTTTTCATATTTGTGTACACTTAATATGTTGGAAAATTGTGAATATTGCTTATTCACTAAATCAACTTTTTGCTCAGGATTTGTCAAGTTGCATTAGGATGGTAACTAGAATTTAAACAGCATATACGTTGTTTTGTTTAATAAAATAAAACGTTAAGTATGTTTGGTACATAAGTGCTCATCAAAACGTTTCACATTTACAACGATTTATAATAAGCTTAAGCCTTAACATGTTGTATTAAATTTAGATTTCATTTTCAACAGGTTTATTTAAAAAACAAACTTACAGAAAATTGATTTTTTTCAAAATTCTTGTCCATCTTGGAAAGCGTGGTGGGTGATATAAGGGGGAATCTCATCAAAGAATAAGTAGATGAGATCTTGCATGGAAAGCATAAATTTACATTCTCAATTAACAGCATTCATGTAAACGAGTCTGCCTTGCCTAGCAAATGTTTTCCCTCTCTTCTGGAAGGCAGCTCAAAAAAAAGTCATTGATGTTCCTCCAATTAGTCCATTTCTCTTGGGTTTGAAACAAGCATTCTGCTGCAGTTGCAGGATAACTATTGTACAGCAATCCACCTAGATCAAGAGTAGTGGACTGATAAATCTGGCTGCGATTGTCCAAGAAGAATAGAATCTTCATTCCGGATGCATATGGCACTTTACTTGCCTCTAGTATGATGGGCTCCTTCATGTATGCACCTGCAATTGAATAAAACCCAGAACTAAAGAGACTGTTTTCAGTGTGACTTGATATGTAATCAGCCCAGAAAGTATGGCCATTCTTATGAACTGAATAGCAACAAATGCTGACTTGTTTTTTGGTGGTGCACTTTTTCTATAGAGTAGTAATAAAATAAAATAAAAATCACTCTTGTGCTACTGTGTTCACAAATGTGGTCCTTTTTCTCTTTAAAGCAAACTACAAATGTAAACCTTCCTCCTGAAGACCTGGACTCATCTGGTGATGATGATGATGATACTTTCTCTGGCTCTGGTTCTGGTGAGTAGATTTGGGTGGGTTGTTTTTGTTTTTTTGGTTTTTTGGTGGCTTTTTTTAAAACGCTCAGTTGTCATAAATTCTTCAAGGTCATGACTTTTGGTGTACAGCTTGGCAAAGGTATGTCCTGGCTGCTGTTTCCCTAGAGCAAGGTAACTCAATGACTTTCTCTTCAGGAGCAGCTTTGCAGGAGTACCGTGCTCCTGAGAGTCACTTTAGGCTGTTTTACCTCTTAAGCACAAGCAGATGCTTTCTGGAAGCCCACTTCAATTCTCAATTATCTGCTCCTTGTGTGGAATAAACAGGGGATCCCAGAGATGTCTACAAAGATGTCCTACCCATGTCTGACTTGTAATATTAATGGTGATGTCTGGCTCTTGCAGGCCACTCATGTGAAACCACTGTAGTGGCTCATGCATTCATGGAGCAAGTGAAGGAAACAAAGCATAGGTGTTAAAGAAGTTATCCCATCTATCTGCCTCAATTATGAGGGAGGGAAGGAGCTGGATGAGAAATTTTACTTAGGCTGCTGAAGCTCTGGACTCCTGGCAGACCTCCCTAGACTATCAACTTCCTCTAGTAGTGACTTCCCATGGGCATGACCATATACCCCATAGTGTCAAAGGAGGCCTTCAATGAAATTGGACTCTGGTAGGCATCCCCCATGCTGGGTCACTATTTCTATTGTGGCAGCTCCTAGATTCCCAATGCGGCTCTCCGTTATGCTAGACTTGTCCAAATAAGACAATTCATGTTCCAGAAGACTTATGATCTGGGTATTAAACAATGGTTAAACTTACTGTACAATGATACAGATCATAGAAAACTGCTAGGGACCCTAACTGGGTGCAAGTTTCTATACACCACTAATACCTATTTAATCTGGTCCAGACTTCAGCTCCCCCAAAAGAAATAACTTCCTCAAACTGGTCCATTAGGATAAAATGACTGGAGACCACCTTCTGGTGTGAAATGCTAATCCCTTTCCTACAGTAAGATTAATCTCCACTATTAACTTCTGGTGTCTGGCCACTGTCAAACTTGGCATTCCTGACTATACCCTTCTTCCTGTTCCCAGCTACCCATTTTTTGGATGGGATATCCTCACTGGTAGGGTTGAGAGTAGGAGAAAGGTGGAAAGCCATGCTGAAGAGTCTTCTGGCTACGAGTATTGAGATCAGTTTAGTGATGGGTAAAATGAGTTAAGTTTTGTCAGACTTGCATGACTCCCTGCCCCACAGGGCAATTCTAAGTTACTAGTCAATCAAAAGTAGTTAACACTAGCAGACTTACAGGTCAGTGTGTTACAAAAAGGAATGTTTGGCCTTGATGGGCTGCTTTCCCTCCTTGCAACAAGTTCTAATGACTAATGGCAGACTGACCTGGCAGTACTTGAGTAACCAGTGCATCCAATCTTGGATGGATTTTGGGAGTGACAGGGCACTGAAGCAATCTAATTGCTTTTGGGTCTAATCCGGGCACTACAGTAAGTTGCCTTTTTAATAACGCTAGCACACCACACAACATACTGAACTGCTTGTACTTGTCTGTTGTTTGATCATCTGTACATCAAGTAATGCTTAATATTCTTGTGTAGGTCCCTTGACCAACCATTCTGTGGCTGCCTGGAATATCCCCTTAGAACATGCAAATTCTTCATCAAGGTCAACAATGTCTACCGGAGCAACTGTTCACCAACCTGCAGTTGATGGCACGGAAAATCCATCTGAAAAGGAAATGGTATCATCATCCCCCACTAGTGATGTGGTGCCAGATGAGGCTGTCTTTTCACTTAAGGATGAAACTCACGAACTGGGCTCGGCTGTAGAGAAACCTACAACAAATGAGGCAGTCATAACAAGAAGTCCAACTACTCACAGTCTTACTGTCAGAGTAACCACTACACAAGCGTCAAGCACAGTCCATGTAATGGAACCTAGTATCCATAGTTCTAGTTCCTCTGGTGTCTCTAAAGAAACACTTGATCCCAGCTTCACCACTATTAGTGAGGAAGATGCTCACTCTCCAACTACAACAATTCTAACCAGGGGTATATACCCTATAGATGATAGGGAAACTCCATCTCCTGAAGAAGGCTCCGGGGATCAGGTAAGAATTAACAGTTTCAATCTCAAATGTAGATCTTTCCCATATCCAGTGCTAAAGCTATACAACAGTGCTGGAATGTAGTAACTTAGCTTCATATGTGGAGTGGAACTAGTTTCTATTATGATGCATCATAAGCTGTTAACAGCTGGGTGTAGGGAAAATTCTTTTGCCATCAGTTGAAGGGAAATATTAAAAACTACTAATATAAGAAAACAAGGTCAGTGTAAAACTTTCAGTAACTTCATCAGTGAGCTGAAATGTGACTGACTTGCACTATATCTTTCCCACAGGGAGACTTTATCTTTAGTGAAGAACGAACAATACCATCAGAATCTGAACTGGCTGACTCTTCAAGAGATGCTGAAGCTGCTGGAACTTCCCAGGGGTTAATGGACAGGAAAGAAGTTCTAGGAGGTATTTCAGAATACACTGAATGCTATAGAAGGTCCAGTGTAGTCCTCCTAATCTGTGGCTGTCTAATCTGCTATAGGATCCACCCAATACTGCAGGACCTAGGCTTTCTATTTTAAAAATCTCTAGTTATCAGAGCTCAAGATAGGTTTGGAAACCTGAAAACACTAAATCAAGGCAGTGCTGCACAATATGTAGATGCCAGATCCTCAAGCTTCTTCTAGTCAATATCTAGATTAATGCATTGCTAATAAAAATGGGCATGTTTCAAATTGAATGTGGGAACAGTGTAAAATCAAACCTGATCTAGCATGTAAAGACTATCCTTGGTAATGTAAATGAAGCTGCTGCAGAGTTTTGATCCAGGTTATTCTGAGGTACCTGTTCAAGTGCATGGTGGTACACTGAGGGAAAAGCTTCTACTCCCAAGCAAGGATGGAGTAAAATCTCTTGCAGTACTAGAGCACAGCCTGTTGGCAGGAGTCATGACTTAGGTACAGTGGGCTTCAAGTAATGGGGGAAGGAACATGGATCTTCAAACTTTCATTTTTGGGAAGGAATTGGAGCCTCTGTAGGGGAGGCTTTCAGAGGACAGCTAGGTGCTCAGTTCCCATTGAAAGCTTAAAAAGTGAAGTACCTAATACCCATTTGACTTTTTTGAAAACTCTCTGGATCCTATTAAATCACTTGATTATGAAATGCCTTTATAGTACTGGTCTCTGCTCCTACTAGCTAACTCTGGAATCAACTTCAGTCAGAATGTCTCACTCCTGCATAGTGTCTAATGTGACTTTTGCCTCCCCACAGGTGTCATTGCTGGAGGACTAGTAGGCCTGCTGTTTGCGGTATTCCTAGTGGGATTTATGCTGTACAGAATGAAGAAAAAAGATGAAGGCAGCTATTCATTGGATGAACCAAAACAATCAAATGGAGGATACCAAAAACCACAGAAACAAGAAGAATTCTATGCATAAACACAAGTCTTCAGAACACTTCCCCCTCTTTCTTGAACTCTTCTGTCCCTGCATACAACCTGCTTGTGGTTTTTGTGCATTAAACTCAAGCCGTACAATCATCAGATATAACCCTTGCCACTGGAAACTAACTATAAATTACATCTGGATTCCTGGAACCTAACCAGCTTTGTTGCACAAATATAGATTCCACTTTTTTTAAAAAAAAGTGGAACATGGGACTGCAAGCCACTAAACTTGCTTTGGCTTATCTAAAGACTCCTGGGAGGGAAGGAGATGAGGGAGAGCTGGAATGTATGTATATAATTGACCTTTAGGAGAACAGCAAGAATTAACACGAACAAGGCTTAAATTATCCATGCTAAAGATCCTTGTTAAACTCATGGCCTCCACTGTGCGTATCATGTATTAGAAAGTCTCTACTGCATTTGACAAAGACCAACAGCTGGTAGCTCATGGTTCTGGCACTCTTTCTAGTTGCCATGATCATAGCACTTAATAGTGGCCATAAGATGTCAACTGGAAAAAGGAGTGAAGGGGCAAGGCAAACAAGTATTTGATCACTGGGTTTGGGATTTTTGTAACAGTTGGATGAATGTACTATTAAAATTAACCTAGAATTTAAATAGATTGCTCCTTTGAGGTTAAACCAAGAAATATGACTTTTGGGAACAAACCATATCTAAACAAGGCACGTAAGTGCCAAGTCTAGTCTTACTGGCTCAAATATGATGAAGTCATTATGAGAGAGACCTTACTGTGTTCTACACCAGTGTGGTACTCCGATGGGCAACTGGTGCCATATCCTAGCTATCTACCTCTCTGCATTGTCAGTTTGTAGTGGTGACTTTGAACTAGGTCTGCCATGAGTGCCATCATACCTTGTGTACTGTACATGGCCCATCAGGTACAAAAGACAGAGCAAACCAAGCATCTCTGGCTTCTTGTACTGCCAGACCAGGGAGCAGAGAAGCATATTAACTAAACTGATCCTTTCTTGCACCTTAGAATGGTTGTGGTGTTGATAGGCTCACACTAATATCTACTATATAAGTGCCTAGCTCTTTAACTTCTGACATAATTGGGTCTGAATATTAATGTCTTCAGTTTTAGTGTAGAGTGGGTTTTAGCAATGGATAATTGTCATCGCCACAGCATCACCCAGCTAGCCTATGGTGCCAAGTCATGAGTTGTTTACTGATTAGAATGGGCCTAAGAACAGGAACACTTCCCAAAAGTCTCTTGTTTGGATGAAAGTACAGTTTTGTGAATGGGTTTTTCAAATAAAATAGTCTTTAATGTAATATACTAAGAGTAGATGCATTCAGTTGTAGCTTGTACAATATCATTAACTTCAGTGTATCTTACACAACAAATTTATAGGAACTTTGTTTGAAGGAAATCTCAGTTTCAACACAGACCTTGCCTCTGCTTTGCCAGATAGGGGTTTTTTGTTAGCCTGTTTCAAATTGATAACTTTTTCTGCTCATAGTGAAGGTATAGGGGAAGGAGAGTGTTTACGATGTAAATATTTATATTGCCGAGCCAGAGGAAGTGATCCAAGAACTCTTGCTGACCGAGGCATGTGTTGCATATTCAATTCAGTTTTTTAATAACTTAAATGAATTGTAGAAGGTCCTTCCTGAATTGCTAATTGAGTAAATTGGTGCCTTCTCAATTTCTCAACAAAACCAAGAAAATACTTGCTTCATTCCATCTCTGAACAAGAGATTGCCTTGATGTAGAATGTAGCTGTATGTTAACATTCTTAAAGACAAAACTGAGATGTCCATTATTGCCTTTATTTTTACACTGAATTTTTATAAATTAATGCAACAGCCAGATGGTGTTAATTATAACTGTAATTCTTTGCTTTGTATAGGAATGTAGAAATGCTGGTAATAGGCTTTTCTATGAGAATTCTTCTCATAAACCACAGGAAACTATTTTTAAAAAAGGGGTAACTTCAGTTGTACTGCCAACCTTTCTACAGGCCAAGAATAACTCTGTATATTTTGGTAATCTAAATGGATAGCTGGAGTTATTGACATACAGAAAGTTTTTTGTATTTAAGTGGTACAAATTTAATTTTAATGGAATATACTTCAGTTGGTTATCTGTACACATGCAATAAATGGCATTTTGGCAAATAACTGGTGGTCTACTGTGTCAGCCTACCCGGGAGCTTTCCTACTTCCCCATTTTCAGAGTGTCACATGTAACCATAATGCAGAACTCCAGGATTTACTTTCTTTGAAGCTTGCTCAAGAGCATAAAGCAAATGCAAGCAGCTTCAGCTCTGAAAGAGCATTTGAAGAGTAGGCCCTGGAAGTTTAGCATGTTCTCACTTCATAATAGTAGGGAGAAGCACTTTCTTAACCAGAAACAGTTCAGAGGCAAAGCAGTTTGAGTACTGAGCAGAAGTTGGGAACAGAGCCTCCTGAATCTCTGTCAAAGGCCAACAGCTGCTCAGACAACCAACCTGCTGTCTGAGTCCTTCTCCATACTCAGATTGAGAGTTGTGCTTTTCTCTGTTTCTGGCTTTTTTGGCTGCAGACATAGCACCAGATATTTTGAGGCTTCAAATAGGTGGCCATTGCCTCAGTGGGGATTACTAGCACACAGGAACTGGCTTGGATTTGCAGATGGTGGTAAGACACACTTGGCTTTAGGAACAGAGGTAGTTGAACAGGTTTCTACATGAGTCTCCACACTGAGCCCTACAAATGTGGGGTCTAGGTCTGGTTGGGGAGCAGAAAAACTGATTCCATGTACTCTTCTACTTGTACTAATCTTAGATTCTTCAGTAGGCATCCCTTCAATAAAAAGGACACACAGTAATGGAAATCTTGTGTACCAGGAATCTCCTACTACCTCACCTCTCTAATTCTGTGGTCTAAAGTGACTCTTGCAAGCATTGGGAGGGTGAGAGGACTGACCACAGATGTCCCAAATACTAATGGGATACACAGTGAAACTTCTATCTTGGCTGTAAAGTACGGGGTGGGAGGAGGTATTGTTTCATATTCTCTGTGTGTATATAAAGTCTGCTGCAGTTTCCACGGTATGCATCCGATGAAGTGAGCTGTAGCTCACGAAAGCTCATGCTCAAATAAATTGGTTAGTCTCTAAGGTGCCACAAGTACTCCTTTTCTTTTTGCGAATACAGACTAACACGGCTGTTACTCTGAAACCTTCCTTTACTACCTTTTTGGGTAGGGAATGGATCATGTAGGTGTCACCACACCAGGGGCAAGATCTCCTAGAGGGTTTGAACTACATTGCCAAAGGACTAAAATACTTTGATGCTACAATGAACTGTTAGTGACAGGAGGGAGAGGCCCTGTGGATTGAAGACCTACTGTTCCCCCTCCTACATAGGGATCAGTCAGTCTCAACTAGTGGGGAATTAGCAGAGAGTACATAAAGGAGAGGGGGTGAAGTCAACTTTAGACTGAACAAGCAAAAGAGACATAGTGAGGATACCAGAGCCTATGACCAGATGCAGATTTTTCCATAAATGGAAAGGACTGAATGCCATTTGTGGGTGTGCATGGATCAGATACTTAGGTAGAAAGTAAGAATCTGCTTTTGTGTGCAATTTGGCAAGTGATATGGGATTGCTCATTTTTTTTCTCTTCTTCTTCCCCCCCCCCCCCCCCCCCAAGAAAAAAACTCCACTGGTCATTGCTACTTGTACCCATATCAAAACTAACCTGGAGTAGGTTATTGCCTTTGTCAGATTCAAGGGGGGCTGTTACCCCCCTGGGCTCCTCAGTCTAATGGGAATCAGCTGTGCATATGTATAGCCCTCCACAGGAGGGCTGTCAGGGAAGGATTTCCATGCAACCAGGCTTTAGGTTTCTTGCCTGTGTAGAATGTGTGCGTTAATCAGCCAAGACCATTTAGAAGAAGAGTTTGGGCCATTGAACTGTCTCTAGATTAGACTGACAAAGTAGGTGAGAAATGTCATCTTAGACCAATTTCTGTTGGTGAGAGTGGCTTTCAAGCTTGCACAGAGCTGCTTCAGGTCCGGCAAACTAACTCAGGCTACATCTACACTACAGACCTTAGAGCAGCACCACTGTCCTGCTCTAAGATCTCTTGTGTAACCGCTCAATGTCGACGGGAGAGCATCTCCAGCCAGCATAGCTATGTCCATACTGGCCCTTTGGGTGGTGTAACTTACAGCACTTGGAGTGGCTTATTGTCACCCCTGAGTGACATTCATTATACTGCAGTAAGCAGTAGTGTGTACATAGCTTAAAAATCATGGACTGAGTAGACACTGGATTATGGCTTATTACAACAATCTGTAACCCACTAACCAGCCCTACAGTTGTTTTCTTCCCACCCCACTTCCTTTCCTCTCTATGACTAGAGGGGTGTTAATGGGCTGCTTTGCCTGGAATGATCCCTTGAAATGTCTTAACTAATTATGCAAAGCAATCTGTTCCACCTTGTATGTAACTGTGACACAACTATGTCTACACTGGCAGTTTTTTCTCTGATCAGGGGTGTGAAAATAACTTGCAACTGACCCAATTTTCACTGATGTAAGCACTGGTGTGGACGGGACTATGTCAGTGGGAGATGCTCTCCTGCTAACATGCCCACCGCCACTCGGGGGTGGTTTAACTATGCCAACAAGAGAGCTCTTCCCCATTATCCTAGAGCGGCTACACAGGAGCCCTTCTAGCAGCACAGTTGCAGCAATATGGCTGCGCTGCTGTAAGGTCTGTAGCGTAGACCTTGCTTTAGGGTCTAGTAAAACTGAATTTAAGCTCCTAGGCTCATCTTCTGAAAGGGGTATGGAGGTGTCCCTTGAGGATGAGGACTGATGGATTGCTTTGTGAAAAGTGTTTGCCCACACATTTCTTTTATCATGAGCTCCTTCAAGAGTATAGTGATTATCTGGCTTCACCCACATAGTTGCTATATGAATAGAGACGCTGTATTTATGGCTTATCACAATGCTCTGTAATCCATTTAAAAAGCTCAGTTGCTTTCCCTTCATCCCCCTTCCTTTCCTACCTATGGCTGGAGAGGCATTAATGGGCCACTTCACCTTGAATGTTCCCTTGTAAAGTGTTAACTACTTATGCTAAACCATCCGTTCCACCTTGTATTTAGCAATAACTTTGAGTTAGGCCATGTCTACGCTACCACTTATGTTGGCAAAACTTATGTCACTCAGGAAGGTAGAGGGTTTTGGGGGGGGAGGGCCACACTCCTGAGCGACCTACGTTTCACTGGCATAAATCAATGCAGTAATGTCAATGAGGCATCGTAAATCTATGATGGAGCTTGCAAGCCTATTGCTGATGTCTGTCGTGTCTTAGCCAGAACCACTAGGCTTACATCCTAAAGGCTTAGCACAAAGTGATACACTCCAGGTAACCAGGCAGCCCATGCCTGTCTTTAAGGCTGAGGAGGAGGTGGTATAATTCCATTTTGAGGTTGTACTCAAGTTTCTTATTCGCTTTCTTGGGGTGCATCCATCTCAACAAATGGCATCATATTGCCAATGGGGATTATTAGAGAAGAGGTCATAGTATCTCTCTCTGAGATTTGAGTTTGGGCCACATGGCTTATTAAATCAAAAGTTTATTAATGGATCTCCACCTACTTTTCTTCTCCCCCCCCAATCCTAAGCCATTCTAACTCTGTATTGTAGATGTTCTGGCATAGAGAAACCCTGATCCTTTTCATCTTTATATTCACTATGCCTCCTGCAGTAATAGCTCCCTGGCTTCCTACTTCCTCAACATTGGGGTGAACAACACATTGGTCCTGGCTAACAACTCGGAGTCATGGGATGCAGCAGGAAGAGAATCCTTGACCTTATGTCCAGGCCTTGGTGAGGGAAAAAATGGTGATGAGGGGGTGGAAATACAGAAAAGAGGGGGGAAGAGAGTAAATGATAGTGAGGAAGCAGCAAAGAAATCTGAGCCTGGAACTATGATTGGAGTAAAGAATACAAGGGGAGCTGTCTATGGGGGATACTTACATTTGCAAAGAACCTAGTCCTAGAGAATAATTAGAAAAGTCTTCCCTTTTCATTCCAAAACATTTTTCCTTAGTGTTTTTTCTTTCTTATTCTATCTAGTAATAGGACAGAAAGCCCTTGACCTTCTGGACTATGTCACTGTCATCTAGGAAGCAAATTCTCTTGCTGTCTAGTACAGTAAGACCCGCTGGACCACATTTCTAGGTAAAGGCTTCTGGGATATCCTATTTGTAGAGACCAAACCAGATTAGCCCCTAACAGTACTGCCACCATTGGAAGGCAAAAGAAATCACCAAGCCATTATGCCCAGCCCCAGGTAGCTCATGGCATTAAAGGAGGAAAGATTTCTACTATATTCGTTACAAGTAGGCATCACCCTATAACAGTCACAATAAGATGACAACACTGATTCAGTGCTGAATTTTCTGTAATGAATATTAAACTTTATTTTCATATTGCATTGTCCACTTGACACCATCCTATCTCTACTATTACTTATACAGGGTTGTAGATGTGCATGGAGCTTTACAGCATGAACACAGCTCCTGGACCAGAAGATCTTATCCTAAATTAGAATAGGCGATAATCTCACAACAGGGAGGGCATGGTGTAAGTACAGTGCCTAGCACAATGGTGAGCTGGTCCACAACTGGGACTCCTAGGTACTATGATCATACACAATAATAATGGACAGTCACTTGGAGGAGGAGACTTTTTGGTGGATGCCAAAGAGAGTGGGATTAGGAAATGCTTTCCTCCCTTGTGAACAGGTGCCCAATGCCAACGGGTTGCTCTCACTTTCACATACTGATTTGTTCTAGTCTGTTTTCCCACTCTACTACCTCTAACTTTTTAGCATAGGGACAGCAGATGTGCCGTTGCTGGGAGCCATGCTTCAGGGGTCGGTAATCCAGCAACTTGGGTCTTTGTTTGTCTATGCATATTGTGTAGTGGTAAGAGGGGAAGACTTTGCATTTAAAAATATACACCCTCATTATATACCCTGTTCAGTGTGTCAATGCTACAGTGTGCACCTGTCAGATGGCCACTTGCTTTGTAAGGCTGCATGGTGCAAGATGTGATTTGCACAATGTTTATTGCTCAGATGCAAATGGCCATGATAAGGAGGCACCTGGC